GGGATTCGAACCTGCCACCTTAGGTGTATGTGGCTGGCGCCTTAGCCGCTTCAGCCACAGGCGCCGAGCCATGACTTTAATTTTCTTTGAAGAAGTAAAACAATGAGAGACACATAGCACTAATAATTCTAATAGTAGAAATATAATGCACATAAGGATTATAAAAAGAGAACTTGTATGCTGGAACAACAAAAATCCCTATTCCATTAAAGAGCCAACTTAAACAATCATGAAGAAAATTAAATTCACATTCATCTTTAGAACCTTTTAACCACATAAGTGGCTTCTCTCCTGATTTTTCTTAGATTAGTTTCTGTGTCACAGAAAGTATTCATGTACAGGCGGTTCTGAGTTACAAACAAGATAGGTTCAAGATAGGTTTTTTCTTAAATGTGTTTGTAAGTTGGAACAAGTACATTTTTAGCTATTACCTGTAATAGCCTTCATTTGTGAGTTGTATGTCTATTTTTATAACGTTTTTCACCAAAACCCACACTTTTTTCTTCATACATTCTGTTTATAGAATGGTTTCTCGGTTTAGTTACCATATGTTAGTCAGAATCCTAAGTCTGAGTAACCTTAATTCATGGTGAAAAATCTAAGAACTAAAAAACTTTAACCATCTGTTATACACTAAGAATTTATGAGTACATGTTTGTAATTTTTAGAAACATAGACACTCTAATGGAACACATTTTCAGTGTGCAATAAGACATTTATTAATAAATCTAAATTTTTTTCTTAGAAATAAGATGCCAGAAGTATATAAGATTAAAATCATCTTAGGCTCAGTGCCTGTAGCTCAGAGGATAGGACTCCAGCCACACACACCGGGACTGGCAGGTTCAAACCTGGCCGGGCCTGTTAAACAGCATTGACAACAATAACAAAAAAAAAAAGCTGGTTGTTGTGGCTGGTGCCTGTAGTCCCAGCTGCTTGGGAGGCCAAGGTGAGAGAGTCACGAAGCACAAGAGTTGGAGGTTACTGTGAGCTGTGACGCCATAGCCCTCTACCAAGGGCGACATAGTCAGACCCTGTCTCTAAATAAATAAACAAACAAACTAACTTATTCTTAGTAATTAATGTCTTTGCATTAGATGTTATTCAGAAATTATCCCAGCCCAGCATGGTGGCTAACACCTGTAATCCTAGCACTCTGGGAGGCCGAGGTGGGTGGATAGCTTGAGCTCCAATTCAAGACCAGCCTGAGCAAAAAGTGAGACCTTGTCTCTACTAAAAAAATAGAAGAAACTGAGGCAAGAGGATCACTTGAGTCTAAGAGTTGGAGGTTGCTGTGAGCTGTGACGTCACAGCACTGTACCGAGGGTAATAAAGTGAGACTGTCACTATTAAAAAAAAAAAAAGACAAGAGAAGTGTATTTTCTGTTTGAATATAGCAAATTCAAATTTCCTTTCAAAATAGCCAAAACAGAACTCCCCAATTATCAGATGAATTCAGGATTTGTTATACATATGAGAAGTGCTGCTTGAAGAGTAATTATGGTGACTTTTTTTCCTATTTCCCAATCTCTTAGTACATTGCCTATGTACATACATCACATTCTGGTTTAATTATGTGATAAAACAGTCTTCTTTCTTACAATGTGGATAGTTTACAGTTTTTAGGGGGCTGGAGGTAATTTTCTCGTTTTTGTTTCTGAAGTACTGTCCAGAGTTTCCAGAGTTTGTATATGATATAAACATATGAGCTTCCTGCTAGGCTTCACTCTAGAGCCATGATAGGTAAACTTCTGTGGCATACTTAAATTATGTTGATCAGAAAAAAGGGTAAAAAAAAAGAATATACTTACTGTGCTTTTGGAAATTAATTAATGATCTTTATTTATTTTTAATTTTATTTTTTGAGACAGTCTCTCTTTGTCACCCTTGGTAGAGTGCTGTGGTGGCATAGCTCACAGCAACCTCAAACTCTTGGCTCAAGTGATTCTCTTGCCTTCGCCTCCCAAGTAGCTGGGATTATAGGTGCTGGCCAGAATGCCTGGCTATTTTTAGAGATGGGGTCTTGCTCTGGCTTAGGCTAGGTCTTGAACTCGTGAGCTCAGGCAGTCCACCCACCTTGGCCTCCCAGAATTGTAGGATTACAGGTATGAGCCACAGTGTCCAGTCCTAATTAATGATCTTTAAAAATTTTCAAGCCACTGTGATGCCACAGCACTCTACCTAGGGCAACAAAGTGAGACTCTGTCTCAAAAAACAAAAAAATAAAAATAATTTCACATCATACCAGTTGAAGATTAACTACTTTAGAGGGATCTTTTCCTCTGGGGCTTCCATTCACAGCCCACAGTTGTGTAGCAAAGCGCACACTACCTCAAATTCTGTAGGCAGAATTGTCTCTCTGCCTATTTGAGATCCACAGTCTCTTTTAAAACATTTAGAGCAGATTTCTGTAAAAAGTAACTTCACAGGACAGCAGTCAGTCAAGTCATTTCAGCTTTTTCTGTCAGTGCTCCTGGCATCTTCAGAATTTGAGGTGGAAGCTGGGCATGGTGGCTCATGCTTGTAACACTAGCCCTTGGAGAGGCTGAGGCAGGCAGATCGCTTGAGCTCAGGAGTTCAAGACCACACATTGAGGCAATGAAAACTGAGACAAGAGGATCTCTTGAGCCCAAGAATTTGAGGCTGCTGTGAGCTGTGACACCACAGCACACTACTCCAGGGCAATAAAGTGAGACTCTGTCTAAAAAAAAATACACCAACAAACAAAAAAAATCCCCCAAGATCTCCAGTTTATTGTTGTACACAATAAAATTTGACATCATGCTTCTAAGTCATCATGATTTTTCCATCTAAGGAATATACACAACTGATTCTGTGTGATGTACATATAGCACTCACAAATGGATATTTCTGTGTTGATGACTTTAGTATTATATGTATTTTGTATTCTATATAAGCATGGTATCTGTATTAATTTTGTGGATCATATATTCTTTCCACAGAAGTGGAGACTATCAAGGAATATCTGTGTGTTAGAATGTATCTACTTATGTAATTCAGGTCACTCCTGTCTCAGTGCAAGGATTCTTAAACCTCTCATATTATTCTAGATCAAATTAAGTGCTCTGCCCTTGGTTACAAGACCAACACTTATTTATTTTTTCAGGGACAGTTCACATTTAGTGATGTGGCTGTATGATTCTCTCTAGAGGAGTGAGAATACCTAGACTCTAAGAACTCTGCCCAAGGCCATGTGATCAATGTGTTATTTATGTATTTATTTTTATTTCAGGGACTGTTGACATTCAGGGATGTGGCCATAGAATTCTCTCCAGAGGAGTGGGAATACCTGGACCCTGCTCAGCAGAATTTGTACAGGGATGTGATGTTAGAGAACTACAGAAACCTGGTCTCTCTGGGTGAGAACTATTTACCTCTGGAATATTTAATATGTCCAAAGTATTTTATAGTGTTTCCTTTATAGACTGTCTCATGGGAGCTTGTGCTTTGTAAGAGTTTTATATTCCTGCTTTCAAAAAAAATTGGGGGTTTGTTGATGTACAAAAGAAATCTTCTATTTGACTTTGAGATTTACCTTCTTTTTGGTGGTGTTTTGCAAGTTTTACTCTAGTTTAGTGGTGATTCTAAAAATTCAGTGACATAAAATATTATTGTCTACACCTTAAAGTCTGATGCCTTCTTCTTATGTTTAGAATATTTAAGAGGCATTTTAATTTTATGGATACTGTGCTTCATTTTTATTAAGGAGGCATTTAGGCATATTTGGGAGGCATTTTAATTTTAATACTGAGGCTTCAAGCACAGTATCTATAAAATTAAAATGCCTCCTAAATATTCTACTGGGGCTGTCAAGAAATAGTATTTTGGAAAATAGTTTTCTAGAATCTTTTATAATACACCCTTTTCTCTTCTGAGTACAATACTAAGTTAGAAATTGAAGAACCCCAAGCAATGTTCACATGTCTTTTTCTAATAAAGTAGAACTTGCCATCTCTAAGCTGGACCTGGTAACCTTTTTGAAACAAATTGAAGAGCCCTGGAATGTGAAGAGAGAGGAGACAGTAGCCAAACACCCAGGTAGGTGGGAGTGAATGGAGCAGATAATGCAGGTGAGATATCTAAAGATCAAGGAGAAAGCCAGACCTTAAAATGTGGGTTGAGAAGCTCTTGTAATATGAAGCTGTATTTTGCAAAGTCAAGGTTTATTTGTGTTGCTGTCATAGAAGGACATCTTTCTTATGCTCTTAAATTATCTGAGGACTGATTCTTCTTAAGATGTGAAAAAAATTATGCAAGGATTCCCTTTATGCTTTAGTGATCTTTGATCAAATTCACAGTGAGAGCTAAAGTCCTGCCCTTGGCCTTGAGGGCCTGTGTGATCTGACTACTCTTCCTTTCCTTTGGGGGTAGGGAGAAATTCTGGGTGTATTTCTGACTACCTCTATGTTCCACCACTTACTAAGTTTTGTTTTTGTCTTATGCCAGAAGTGTGTGGATATAGGAGTGAACATAATGATGTTTGGTTCAGAAATTTCAAAAATACTGTAGACAGATAGATGTCAAATATTTTTTGTTTTGTTAATTTCCAATCTTATGGATGTTTCAAAGGCAATTCTTTTTACAGAAATTGAGACTTTGTACTTTTATGGAGTATAAATTCTCACTTTTTTTTCCCCCTTTGAGACAAAGTCTCACACTATTGCCCTGGGTAGAGTGACACAGCAACCTCCAACTCTTGGGCTCAGGGGATCCTTATGTCTCAGCCTCCTGAATAGCTGGGACTACAGGCAGGAGCTACCATGCCTGGCTGAAATCTTTTTTTAATTAAAGGTTAAATTACATATGACTTATTAGATATATGTATTTAATTTTAAAATATTTAATATAATGATCTAATTATGTATTTTACTTCAAATTAGGCCATCTTTTCCCCTAGCTTTGAACTAAGATCAGAAATTTAGAATGTAAAAAATATTGCACCCTCAACATTAACCTGAAATTAAAAACAAAAAAAAAAATTTAGATTGTACCTAATAGTTTGTACATGTGTAAAATAGTTCAATGTGCTACTTTCCATACAGAGTTTTTATTTTTATTTTTTTTTTGAGACAGAGTATGGCTGTGTTGCCCTCAGTAGAGTGCTCTGGAGTCATAGCTCACAGCAACCTCAAACTCCTGGGCTTAATCAATCCTCTTGCCTCCCCAGTAGCTGGGACTATAGGCACTTACCACAGTGCCCTGCTATTTTCAGAGACAGGGTTCTCTCTCTTGCTCAGGCTGGTCTCTACCTGCCTTGGCCTCCTAGAGTGCTAGGATTATAGGAGTGAGCCACTGCGCCTGACTTTTTTTTTGTTTTTGTTGGTTATATTATTTTGGTGTGATAGACAAAATTATTGCCAAGCCAAATGTCAAAGGGATTGTTCCCTAAGCTTTCAGTTTGAAATTTCTGATATTACATTTACTGTTAATCCTTTTTTGTTTTGTTTTGTTTTTGGCCGGGGCTAGGTTTGAACCCGCCACCTCTGGCATATGGGGCCAGCACCTACCGTTTTGAGCTATAGGCGTCGCTCTTGTTTTGTTTTGTTTTTGAGACAGAGTCTCAACTCATTTGCCCTGGGTACAGTGCTGTGTTGTCATAGCTCACATCACTTTAACTCCTTCATTTCAATTTTAAATACCTTTTGTTTCTTTCTCTTAATTGTTCTGTCTTGATTTTATGGTATTTGCTGAATAGAAGTGGTAAGATGGAGGGAGCATCTTTGTTTTGTTGCTGATGCTGGAGAAAAAAGCCTTTATCATTTTACCATTGAATATAATGATAACTGAGGACTTTTTATACATGATTATCATTATCTTTGTACATATATTGCTTCAAGTTTTTATTATCAAAGTGTATTAAATGTTAGGCGGTGCCTGTGGCTCAGTGAGTAGGGTGCCGGCCCCATATAGGGGCACCCCGTATGGCAGGTTCGAACCCAGCCCTGGCAAAATTGCAACAAAAAATATAGCTGGGCGTTCTGGTGGGCATCTATAGTCCCAGTTGCTTAGAAGGCTGAGGCAAGAGAATCGCCCAGGCCCAAGAGTTGGAGGTTGCTGTGAGCTGTGATGCCACTGCACTTTACTGAGGGTGACAAAGTGAGACAGAAAAAAAAAGTGTATTAAATGTCATCATATGCTTCAAACATATCTTTTAAAATGATCATGTGATGGATATCTTTTATACGGTTACTGTAGTTATTGTGTTATTGATTTGTACAGTTGCAACATCCCTGAGTCCCAAGTAGAATTCCTCCTTGTTCATGGTGTATAATCCTTATGTGTTTATGAATTTGGTTTCTACTATTTTGTTGAGAATTTCTGCATGAATCTTTGTCAGACTAATGGTTTTGGTTTTCTTTCTTTCTTTCTTCCTTCCTTCCTTTTGAGATAGAGTCTTATTTCGTCACCCTCTGTAGAGTACCATAACGTCATTGCTCACAGCAACCTCAAACTCTTGGGGGATTGGGCAATTCCCTTGCTTCAATTTTTTATTTTTAGTAGAGACAGGGTCTCACTCTTGCTCAGGCTAGTCTTAAACTCAAAGCTCAAGTGATCCACCCACCTTGGCCTCTCAGAGTACTAGGATTGCAGGGATGAGCCACCATGCCTGGCCTTGGTTTTCTTTCTGGTAGTGGTCTTATTTGTCTTCAGTATGAGGATAATGATGGCCTTGTAACATGAGTT